CCGGTAGATTGACGATCCCATGCATCGTATCTACTAACTTTCTCACTCCATCTGGTGGACCAACACTTCATTTGGCGAACTATATGTTCCTACAATCACTGTTTATATGGCCTTCATCACTCTGTGTACAATGTGTACGTTCCTGACATCTCCATGCCACGAACCTCCTACATTCAGCACTTCTTCAGTGCTGTCATGGTAGCTTGGCTACTCGAACGTATCGTATCTCAGACGGCTGTTCACGCTCCACAATCGACACTCTCCTTCAGAAACTTGCGATCGAGCCCTGGGCCTGGCTCCGACAGACCTGGGGTTCTATTTGCCAATCTTTCTGGTGCCAAAGAAAGATTCGGACAAGTTGAGACTAATTTTCAATATGAAGAATTTTCGATAAAATGGTTCTACAACCCCCGCCTCACTTTCGTATGGTGTTGGTGGCTCTTCTCAACAGTCATCAAGCCGAGAGACTACATGGTCAGTGTCGATCTCCAGCAAGAGTACCTTCACATCCCGATTTTTCTGGCTTTTCGCAAGTTCCGTCGATTTGTCTTCGAGGGCACCCACTATCAGTGGCGTGTCCTCCCGTTTGGAATTTCTTCGGCCCCGTGGCTGTTCACACGGGTATCGAGGCCTATCACCTGTTTCCTTCACCGCAAGGGGATAGTGTTCGAAGCTTACATCGACGGCTGCATTCAGGCGCAGACCGATCATGCCCTTCTGCTTCATCACATGCAGTTTGCGATACAGCTTCTTCGCTGGGGCGGTGGGGTAGCCTAGTGGTTAAAGCGTTGGCTCGTCATGCCGAAGACCCGGGTTCGAATCCCCACATGGGTACAAAGTGTGAAGCCCATTTCTCTTGTCCCCCGCCGTGATGTTGCTGGAATATTGCTAAAAGCGGCGTAAAACCAAACTCAGTCAGTCAGTCTTCGCTAATTAGGCTAATTAATCAATCTGCAGAAATCGGAACTAGCCCCTACACGCCGTCTTCAATTCTTTTGAGCAGTGTTCGACACAGAGGCCAACAAACTCTGTCCCGCGAGATCGTTTCTGCAAGATTCAACGATTGGTTTCTCTGGCATTTGCGCAACCCAGGACGCTTCGTCAGTGGCAGGAGCTCCTGGGCCTCTTGACGTCGGCTCAGGCGTTCACCCTCAGGGGTCAACTACAACTTCATCCCTTGCAGTTCTTTCTAGCGCCTTACAGCAGAGTGGGAGATCCCGTTGCCTTGATCTCTCTACCTCTGCAGCTCCATACCCATCTCCGGTGGTGGATGGAAGCATTGAATGTTTGCGACGGAGTTTGTTTAGGGCCGTTTGTTCCGTCTCACCACCTGTATGTGGACGGTCTCTACATGGGTGGGGAGCTCATCTTCTCAATCAACTAGTGGCAGGGCGGTGGTCTCCCATCGATCGCGCCTGTCACATCAACGTTCTGGAGTTCAGGGCGGTGATGCTTGCAATCAGTCACTGGCAGGATGTCCTACGGGTAACTTCCCTCATGATCCGGTTGGACAACGCAGCTGTGGTTTGGCATATCAACAGGATGGGGTCCACGGGGTCTACTCAACTGCTGCAGTGGACCCAACGGTTCTTCGATCTGGTGGACTCTCTCCACATCTTGGTACGAGCCACCCACATTCCGGGGGTGTAGAATGTCATCGCAGATTCTCTGTCCCGACCAAGTCGTCCCTCTCCAACGGCATGGAAATTGCATCCTCAGGTGTTCCAGACCTTTTGCCTTCCATTGACGACTCCGACAGTAGATCTCTTTGCCACCCAATTCAACCATCAGCTGCCTTGGTTTGTGTCAGCGATTCCAGACCCTCTGGCTTGGGACCTCGATGCTCTAGCCATTCCGTGGGAGGACCTGAATGCTTATGCGTTTCCACCAGTGGCCCTTCTTCCTCACATATTAGTGAAACTGTGCGCAACTCAGGGGATGACTCTACTTTTGGTCGCACCCTATTGGCCGGCCAGAAGTTGGTCAGTAAACTTTCAAGACCTAACCGAACCAGATCCAGTGCCACTTCCCATTCGACATCCACACTCCGACCAGCTACATTGGTCCCCATTGACGCTCCATCTGCACGCTTGGCACATCTACATCAGTCGTTAACGGCGAAGGGCTATTCTAAATGGGTGGCTCCTGCCATTACTACAGCGCATCGTACTTCTACGAGGTCACTCTACAATGACAAATGGAAGAATTTCGAAGCGTATTGTAGGAAGAGGGGCGTCACATGCCCCACTACGGCGTCCCCACAGATGGTGGCAGAATACCTTCAGCATCTCCGAACCTCCAGAAAACTCAAAGGTTCTACACTATCTACCTATCTGCCGGCTCTTAACATGGTTATTGCAGCGGCCTCAGGTGTGAAGGTGTCCACTGTCCCTGAACTCCTGTCTCTCCTCCGGTCTTACAAACTGGCTGACCAATCTCGGAAGTTCCGGCCCCCAGCTTGGGATCTTTCCGTTGTACTTGCTCATCTCACGCAGCTGATTATGAACCTTTGGAGGAGAAAGATTTCGAACATGTCTCCTGTAAGACCTTCTTTCTATTGGCCTTGGCTACGGCTGCTCGTATTTCTGAGTTGCATGCTCTTGATGTTTCTCGGGTAAGGTTTGAAAGGTCTAGACATGCGAGAGTTTCCTTGGTTTGCGGTGGGATTTTCTCGCCAAAAATCAGTTACCAGGACAGCCGGATCAGACATTCACGATTCAGCCGTTGTCCACTATCTTCGGCCCAGATGACACTGAGGATATGTCCTTATGCCCGGTGCGTGCATTAAGGATTTACCTAGCTGCCTCACAGGATCGCCACAGATTGCGTAAGAGATTGTTCATTCCATTGTCTACTGCCTCCACCTCGGAAGTCTCCCGTACTACCTTGGCGTTTTTGATGCGAAACTACGATCCTGCGTGCTTCTGCCTTTGCTGACCTGCCTCCACCGTCGACGGCGAAGCCTCATGAGACTCGAGCTCTTGCTTCCACCATGGCTCTTCACAGAAATTGTTCCCTGCGGTCCATCATGGAGGGCTGTTTTGGGTGATCAGATACAGTGTTTGCTTCACAGTACCTGAGGGACCTCTCAGTTACAGACGTGGAAGGTCTACATCAATTCGGCCCCCTGATCCTGGCGCACCAATTGTCATCGGCCCGTGTTCGCAGATAAAGCAATCCTTCCTTGGTCGGGTTTGCTTTGTACCTAATATAAGATATCGATGTCATCCATGTGTTGGTACTTTTTTCTCTTGGGCTTAGATCATTCTCACCTATGGGAATAGGGCGTGTCTGCACTGTCATCAGTTATGACTTCATAGACTGTTAGGCCAGTCTTGTACTACATGCAGAGATGGTCGACACTCCGCTTACTGACCTCTACTCTTTGAGCAATTACGCCAGTTAAGTGTTGATTTCCGACACCTACATGGTTTTCGCCGCTCTGCTCCTGAGTCCTTTCTCACCTTTGGCACGCTAGGGAGATTGGTACTGAACGTTAAACTAGTTGAGCATCCGAACTATTCCTCTTTCACCGCCTTCCAGCGTGTGTCTGTCTGGGGGTAGTTTCAAGCAGGACTGGCCAGATTAAGGTCCTCGACTTTAATTCACTGGGTTCCCCTGATAAATCGTGGGTGGCGGGGCCTACTTGCCAAACTAAGGCCCTTTTGCTTGTCAAAAGTTGCAGGCGAAAACCACATTAATTGGGAGCACCCACTCCCTAGAGTTTTTGTGCTGTGTAAGCCAGGGGTTACATGATGAAGCCCATCTCAAGTTGGAGTTTGCATATCGGAGTTGGTGCTTTCTCCTGGCCTCCTTGGGTTATGCGTTTTTTCTGGTGGTAGTAACGGGTAATCTAGTGATCCCGGCCTACCAACCGTGGGATTGTGCATACCGTGAGATAGGATAAGTTTAAAAATTTGATTTTTTTTTTATAAATTGTATATTTATATACTTATCCTATCTCATGCGATAGGACCCACCCGACCTGACCCACATCACAGATTACTAGAAGCTCCAAGACGAGAATGACAGGCACAGGTAGTCACATGATCATCTGAGCGAGCTCCATGCTTACAGAGATGATTGACAGGTGCTGATGTCGGAGTGAGGGCAGAGGTCAGGGCGGGTCAGAGGCCAGCAAGATTTGATTCAACTTAGCCTACAGCACGTTTCCACACATGGTCGTAGAAGAGAAGAGGTGCATACCATGAGATAGGATAAGTATATAAATATACAATTTATCATAAAATTTTCAATACTATTGATATTGATGTGCATAACACTAGCTTTTGAAACTCATTTGATAATTTTGCTTATGTACGGTATTTTAAATCTGTCTTAATATCTATTCCTACTTGGGTAACATATTGCCTCCAAGGTGCCTGCTCTAAAACATGCAAAATGAAGTTTGATGAGCAACATACATATTAAGAAATATTATATGTTGCAGACTGAAATATTCTGATATGAGTTTGTTGACCTTATGTTGATCTTTTGTCACTGTAATTCGATTTTTATGAAAGAGAGGAAAATGGACTTCTTTTCATTATAACATAAACTAAAATAAGACAAAGTTGTATGGCACAATGAAAATGAAACTCTTGTCTTCAGCAACCATGCTTGTCATAAGAGTGGACTAACAGGATTGGGAAGTCAGACTCGCTGACTTGGTTGATGGATGTCTTCTTAACCAAACTGCATGGATTGATGCTTATGTCAATCACTGTATTATCTGGTCCAGACTCAATTATTTAAAGACTGCTGTCAAACAGCTGAAATATTGCTGAGTATAGCATTATGAAAACAGATAAATGAAATGGTTGCAGATAAAAGGATGCTCATTAAATGTGATACTTGTGGTATATTTTCAATATTAGTAGAAAATACATGATACCAAGGGCGACAGGAAATTTTGTCAAGCAGATGCCTCAGTTGAATTGTTGCCTACTGATGCTGGAGACTTTTAATGTTGTGACACTAATTTTCTTGTACTTTTGCAGATCAGAGTAAACTCTGTCTGAGAGATTTGAAAACGATACCGTTTGTGAAGACACACTTCATCACACAATCTGAAAAGTTTCTTCACACAAGGGGCATGGTTGTTCTCACTGGCAGGTCAGGCGATGGAAAGACGTCTGCTGGTTTGCACTTACTAAAGAGTGTCTCAGAACGGGAGTCCCGGAGCCCTGTAATTCTGACTGACCCCAGTCAGTGGGACCATATTCCAGTGAAACTTAATGAAAGGAAAGTTCAACAAACATTTGTTGTTTTGATAGATGATGCCTTTGGAAAAACAAATCTGGTTCAGGATCTGGTGGACAGATGGGGCAAGAAATTCCCTATGATGATCCCTGTAATAGAGAATGGAATTGTCAAACTGGTGATAACAAGCCGTTCAAATATACTGTCAGCATGTGTTGGTAAAGTTACTTTTCTTACGAAATGTCCAAATGTTGATTTCTCAGTCATTGAGGAAAACCAAGCTCAAGAAAGATTAGCAATTCTTGAAAATCATTTGAAACTGTTTGGAACTGACACCTGCATTGACTTTAATGAGAAACAAAGGATTGTCCAAAGCACTGACCTGATGGGATTCCCCCAATGCTGCTCTGTGTTTGCTAAAGATAAATCACTCCATCTCAAGGCTTCAACTTTTTTCTCCAAGCCACTGAAGTGTTTATCAGAGAATATAAGAAGTCTGTCAGATGCTGATCCAGTAGGTTATATGGTGTTGTTGTTGCTATTTCTGAAAGGTGGGGAACTACACAGGAGCTTTTTTGATCCATTTGACCGATCAAAAGAAGACAGTGACCTCCTTGAGAAGCTGCTCCGTTTCAGAAATTGTGACATTCATCAGTTAGAGAGTAAAGCCAAGACAATGTGCCCAATGTATCTTACCTTTGTAGAAAACAAAGAAAGCTACAGGTTTGTACATCAATCAGTAATGGATGTCATTTCCATTCAAGTCTGCAAAGAGAAACTCACAAGTGGGCTCAAGTTCTGCACCCTTAGTGTTTTACTGGAATATGTAAGAACATCACCAACATCAGAATCTGACCATATCATATTAATCCCCAGAAATAAGTTTGGTATTCTTTCTGAGAGACTCACACAAGAATTGTTGTCCACAAACCAGGAACTAATCATTACACACCCAGCTTTTCAGGATCCTGAATTCTGTCAGTTCCTGATGCATAGTTTCTGGAAAGGTACAGACAAAATGGAAATTGTAACGTTTAAAAACTGCACCAAAGAAGTCTTCACAAAAGTGTTTTTCAGTAAGCAAACAGTGGAAAGACTTTCAGCTTTGGCTGTAGGTATTACAGAGGACATTCCGACTTTATATATTGAAGATATCTTGGTCTTGCGGTTTACTTCTGTCTTGTGTAATTTTGCACTCAATGGCTGCAACCTGATAGTAATGGATCTGATGGCAACAGCTGACAACTGTTTATCAGAGGTGGAGTTGACGGAAACAAGACAAGATGTATTGGCCAGTGCTATTTATAGGGGAAATTCAGAATTGATTCAAGAAATGTTAAAGAGAAAGACTTGTATATCTGAAGCCTGCATTGTTGCATCATGTGCTTCTGAGACTCCAGACAACACTGCTTTTGATCACATCCTGGATACATTTGATGCATCAATCATGAACATTTTCAAGTGGCCACTGATGGCATTGCTGATAGAAAAGAATAAAAGGGAAACTTTAGAGAAACTTGCCCTCTTAATGTGTAACGCTGACAGTTACAAAGGGAGAGAACTGCTTGTGCAGCTGTGCAAATGCCTCTTACTACAGTATCATAATGTGACACCCCTATTATATTTGAAGACTTTCGGGCAGATGAAGAAAGATGCATTTTTAGAATTGTTTCCAATCTTTTGCAGTCTTGGTATAAGCTGTTTTACTGATGAATTGGTACTTTTGGCAACAGGTTGTAGAGAAACGTATCCTCTGTCAATGATTCATGGATATGGTGGAAACATTGCATGTACAACAAGCAGAGGAGACACACCACTGCACCTTGCAGCTCACATAGGCACAGCAGATATGGTGGAATATCTGTTACAACTCAATGTAGACAAATCACTAAAGAATTCAGAAGGATGGCTTCCACTCCACTTTGCTGCTCAGTCAGACATAGAAAGTGAAGAAAAACTTCATCTCCTCCTTGAACTTGAACATGTGCTACAGCCACAGTGTCAGGAATGACACCTCTTATGTTGGCCTGTAAGGCGGGGAATATCTCTTGTGTTGAATATTTTAGTCTGAAGTATAATAGTCACGGAGATCACCCAATACATGCTACCATTCTTGGCCTCTGCGAAATATGTATAGGGAGCAACCTACAGAATCATTTGGGCAATCCCGTATTCATACAGAAATGGTTTGACATCACTGACATCCTCCAACATATTGGTTATTCCTTCAGCCACAAATATGAAAATTTAAGTCCCATTGAGCTTATCATTTGGTTAGATCGGGTGGATATTCTGGGATTGTACTTGGATAGATGGCCCTTTCTTCTTGATGAACTGAAAGAGGGTTCAGTCGACATGTTTAATGTACAAAGGACATGTGCTGAACATGAAACTGCTAAGTATCTCATAGAGAAAGGTGCCATTGCTGATGCAGAATATATGAAAGGAGTCACACCACTTCATGTAGCAGTTCAGCATTGTAAACATAAAATTGTTGAGTGTCTCACAGAGAAAGGTGTGAATGCTACTGCAAAAGACTTGAAAGGAGTCACTCCACTTCATATAGCAGTTCAGCATGCCAAACATGAAACTGTTGAGTATCTCATAGAGAAAGGTACGAATGTTAATGCAGAAGACAAGAATGGAGCAACACCACTTCATGTAGCAACTGAGCATGCCAAACATGAAACTGTTGAGTATCTCATAGAGAAAGGTGCCAGTGTTAATGCAACAGATATGATCAGAGTCACACCACTTCATGTAGCAGTTCAGCATGCCAAACATGAAACTGTTGAGTATCTCATGGAGAAAGGTGCCAGTGTTAATGCAAAAGACAAGAATGGAGTCACATCACTTCATGTAGCAGTTCAGCATGCCAAACATGAAACTGTTGAGTATCTCATGGAGAAAGGTGCCAGTGTTAATGCAGAAGATAGGAAAGGAGTCACACCACTTCATGTAGCAGTTCAGCATGCCAAACATGAAACTGTTGAGTATCTCATAGAGAAAGGTGCCAGTGTTAATGCAGAAGATATGAAAGGAGTCACACCACTTCATGTAGCAGTTCAGCATGCCAAACATGAAACTGTTGAGTATCTCATAGAGAAAGGTGCCAGTGTTAATGCAGAAGATATGAAAGGAGTCACACCACTTCATGTAGCAGTTCAGCATGCCAAACATGAAACTGTTGAGTATCTCATGGAGAAAGTTGAAGATTATTATTATAGAAGATGGGACATGACAGCACTACTCCATGTAGCAGTTCAGCATGCCAAACATGAAACTGTTGAGTATCTCATGGAGAAAGGTGCCAGTGTTAATGCAACTGATAGGAATGGAGCCACACCACTTCATGTAGCAATTCAGCATGCCAAACATGAAACTGTTGAGTATCTCATAGAGAAAGGTGCCAGTGTTAATGCAACAGATATGATCAGAGTCACACCACTTCATGTAGCAGTTCAGCATGCCAAACATGAAACTGTTCAGTATCTCATAGAGAAAGGTGCCAGTGTTTATGCAACAGATATGATCAGAGTCACACCACTTCATGTAGCAATTCAGCATGCCAAACATGAAACTGTTGAGTATCTCATAGAGAAAGGTGCCAGTGTTAATGCAACAGATATGATCGGAGTCACACCACTTCATGTAGCAGTTCAGCATGCCAAACATGAAACTGTTGAGTATCTCATAGAGAAAGTTGAAGATTATTATTATGGAAGATGGGACATGACAGCACTACTTCATGTAGCAGTTCAGCATGCCAAACATGAAACTGTTGAGTATCTCATGGAGAAAGTTGAAGATTATTATTATGGAAGATGGGACATGACAGCACTACTTCATGTAGCAGTTCAGCATGCCAAACATGAAACTGTTGAGTATCTCATGGAGAAAGTTGAAGATTATTATTATGGAAGATGGGACATGACAGCACTACTTCATGTAGCAGTTCAGCATGCCAAACATGAAACTGTTGAGTATCTCATAGAGAAAGGTGCCAGTGTTAATGCAACAGATATGATCAGAGTCACACCACTTCATGTAGCAGTTCAGCATGCCAAACATGAAACTGTTCAGTATCTCATAGAGAAAGGTGCCAGTGTTTATGCAACAGATATGATCAGAGTCACACCACTTCATGTAGCAATTCAGCATGCCAAACATGAAACTGTTGAGTATCTCATAGAGAAAGGTGCCAGTGTTAATGCAACAGATATGATCGGAGTCACACCACTTCATGTAGCAGTTCAGCATGCCAAACATGAAACTGTTGAGTATCTCATAGAGAAAGGTGCCAGTGTTAATGCAACGGATAGGAATGGAGTCACTCCGCTTCATGTAGCAATTCAGCATGCCAAACATGAAACTGTTAATCATCAATAGCGAAAGGTGCGAATGTTAATGCAGGAGGCATGAATGGAGTCACACCACTTCATGTAGCCACTGAGCATGCTAACATGAAACTGTTCAGAATCTCACAGAGAATTATGTGAATGTTAATGTGTGTTTAGTTTATTGTGCCTAACAGACAGCATGGCTGTATGCTCCCCAGGGTGTTGAAAAAGTATCGGAAAGTGTGATAGTGTCCTATGACCGTGGATAGTAATGTACGTAGCACCGTGAGCAGGCAATGTGCCTGGATATGAGTGCCATATAAGTGGACAATTACTATTACTATTACTATTAATGCAGGAGATAAGAAAGGAGTCACACCACTTCTTGTAGCAGTTCAGGTGCGGTGGGGTAGTCTAGTGGTTAAAGCGTTGGCTCTTCACGCCGAAGACCTGGGTTCGAATCCCCACATGGGTACAATGAGTGAAGCCCATTTCTGGTGTCCCCCGCTGTGATATTGCTGGAATATTGCTAAAAGCGGCGTAAAACCATACTCAGTCAGTGTAGCAGTTCAGCTTGCCAAACATGAAACTGCTGTTTATCTCGAAGAGAAATGTGCCAGGGGTAATGCAAAAGGTATGAATGGAGTCACTCCACTTCATGTTGCAATTCAGCATGCCAAAATAAAACTGTTGAGTATCTCATAGGGAAACATAATAATTATAATGAAGCTAATGAATTTATTTATATCATTGAATTTTCTGTCCCTTTTGACAGCAACATGATTGACAAGATTCAGGAAAAGCATGCTAAATATGCGGACCCCGCCTTTGAAATGTCTTGCTTGCATCCCAAGTACACTGTCGTCAGGCTCCCCATTGTTGTCGGTGCCCTTGGTTTGGTACCTTCTGATCTCTTGGTGCAGATCAGGAGAGTGCCCGGTTTCTCCACTTGGAGCACAGCCCTTCTGATACTCTGGGTAATGCAGAAGGCTGCAGTGTTGGGGAGTCTACATATTCTCCCGGAAAGTTCTTGGTGGGTTCGACTAGGCAGCGTTTCCTGGGAGTCCCATTCATTTTGCTGGGCTGCGTGTAGAGGGGGCAAGGGCCTGAGCTGATGATGAGTCTTACCAGCCTGACTGTTCCAGGATCACCAAAAACCCTCTCTGCTGCATGTTTCATCTTAATCTGAAAACATAATGATAAAGACAGTCCATTTATACTGCTCATTTATCCTTGCACACTGCATGCTCAAAGGTGCAAATGTAAATGCAGAAGATAGGAATGGGGTCGCAACATTTCATGTAGCAGCTGAGCATGCCAAGTATGAAACTGGAGCATCTCATAGAGAAAGGTGCAAATGCTATTGCAGCGTTGCAAACTCCCGCCTGCCCGACCGTCCGGGACGGTCTGTTTTGCGACCGGACGGTCAGTTTTAAAAAGTTGCACGCCCGATGGTCTGGCTGTTGAATCAGCGTAATTTTGTAATGTATATAATGACTGAAAACATTTAAAAACGTGTTATTGTGACAATAACCTGACATTAAACAGTTCCCTCCTCCTATTTACCTCCTCTATATTTTATCTTAATCCTGAAAATTCTGGACTGGTAACTTTCCAGCCGGTCTGGTAACTTTTGAGAGTTACCAGACCAGTTGTCTGGCCGAAATTTTGGGGAGTTTACAACACTGGCTATTGCAAAAGATATGAAAGGAGTCGTACAACTTCACGTAGCAACTTAGCATGCCATGACATAAGGTTGGTGAAATGTTTCGATTGCTTATTATAGATATTTGCACCATTAAGAAATAATTATGTCATCAGTATATTGTCCTAATTTACGTTCTGTACTAGCAGGATTAAAATCTGCATCCTATAAAGTTGTGTAAATGTTTTGTTATGTGAAGCTAAAGTAAAGCAGCTTTGTAACTTCTTCAAACTTTTAACAAATACATACATTCTGTACACACTTTTTTCTGTATCCACGGGTTTAGCTTGAAAATAATTTTTAAGATTCATGGGGTTGTGTTGTCTTTCTTTCTTGTGGTCCTCCATGCGCTATTCACAGGAGTTATCCCCCCTAATAGAAGGGCAGGAAACCTCATAATTTTTATTTTGGTATACATGCACACGTTTTTTACTTGTTTTCTGAAATGTTTTGTCAAAAGTTGTTTTCTAAGGCTTAGCTTCTTATTTGGTTAGGTTAATGCTCTAAAAATATTTTGTCCTCCTCTTCGGGTACAATAGTAGTGATAGAACCCTTGTCACATCCGTATTTGTTTTAGCAGCATTACAGCTGTATGATTTTTGTAATCAGATCAAGCATCCATGTGATATGATGACAAAGCATGTGTTTACGAATCACTAAGAAATAGTGATGATACCAGATGTTCATGAAAAGATGCTGAACAATAATTATTGATCAGGGTGCAGGCCAAATTAATGTCTCCTCAGGGTTTGTATGGATACTGCTGAGAGAGTGTTGACACTAATTGCGCTTATAGTTGCCCGTTGTGGAGCTTGTCAGCTGCTATCTCCATCAGCTTGTATGCTCTATTTGTTATATTAGTCCACCAGCAAAAAGTGCCTTCAAACCCAGAGATGATCATTACATAATCAGTTGGACTCGGTGGAACTAGGTGTTACTCTTGTCTTATCTGATCCTGGAACAAACCATCCGTCTACCTTCTGGCCGTTTAACCCATTTTTGGAACCGAGGAAGCCTTGTCAGTGGCTCTGAAGTCTTTTAAAGATTTGATAATAGGTCCAGTTGATCAATTTTCGGGACTATTTAAAGGTAGGTGTGTCGCCCATGATCTTCCTCCTCCTCAGACGAGAGTCAGGTTGGAGTGTAAGACACGTACCAGCTGAGGTACACCCTGGACGCAAGGCATGGCCACGACTTTGATCTTAATGACCATGATGACCGCATGGGAATTCATAGTTCGGCAAGTGTTCATCATGTCACGGTCCATAGGATATCGTACGATCCTGTTTGAGATCATTATAGCAAAGACAACGGGATAGGATATAACAGTACACGCACACACCGATATTTTGGTATGGACTACACGGGTAGCTCAAGCCGTATGGAGACCGGGACAGCTATAATCAGTCAGCATATATGAGCAGGTGATATGACAAGCTCCACAGGCTGTACAGGTAGAGATACTGCATGTGAACAGCTGCGTTTGGGTGTAACGTTTTGTTAAGAATTTGCCAATTTTCACTGATTTTTATCATTTCTTGAGCTTACGACAATAATCTTTTCGACTGTATGAATTTGTCTTACAATACATCAGGTCATGTGTAGACAGTATATGTACCTTTAAACAGTATGGAACATTTTTTAAAAAAAATTGTCTTACAATACATCACTTCATGTGTAGACAGTACCTTTAAAGAGTGTGGAATATTTTACAAAATTTAGTTTAGAACAGTTGCCTGAAGTTAGTGGTTATATTTATAATGACACTAGTTAGTCTAAACTTTTGATGGGAAGTATACAACTACTACTAGACTCTCTTCTCACATTTATACAGAGCATTGTACAGATGCTTCAGATTGCAAGGATTCTTATGGATTTAGGAACAGAATCCTCAGACCACAATTCAGCCACATACACATTATCTTACGTGTTGGGTGCACTAGTTGTCCTATTTCTGCCTGATCAAGAGGACTTTGCAATGGAAATTCAATGACCAGATGTTCCTCTATTCAACACCAGAGCTAAATGCAAGTTACCTCTGTCATCCACAGGCCCTCGTGTCTTTGCAAGGATTGAAGATTAAATTTTTGTATTCTTTTTGAGATGACCTCCGACTTGAACTGAAGCATTGTTCTGTGTAGTATTTCGACTCGGGGGGGGGTCATCTCAATTTTTCACATATTTTGTTTTAAATCTTTAATCATCGCAAAGACACGAGGGCCTGTGCTGTCATCCTGCCAGTGTAAGATCATGAAGGATCTGAATGGGTGGTTGTCTTCACTCAAGTATTTTGACCGTTTAGGACGCTCTTCTCTTCAGGAAAGGATTTGTATGTGACTTGTGACTGAGATTTTCCACTCCAATTGCCTTCCCTTGATACAGTATTTGGAGGATATGCAGATAAAATACCTGAACAATTATCAATCAAGGAATTGAGAATCAGTAATTTTGATCAAAGTGTTCGGCTTCTTGACAACATTCGAGGGTCTAAACTGTTGGTTTGTCACAGGAATTTGGAAGATGCTGAATTCAACTAATGAAGCAGATGCTACATATGATCCATCCACTGTTTAGATGGAGATTGCAGGAGATACTTTTCAGATGATCCAAGGCTATCTACACAGCATGGCAAAGGCGTTTTTGATTCTCGGTCCCTACTAGTGAATCTTGCGGGCTAGTTGTCCCCCGCCGCAACGCGGAACGGAGAACTATGTATTCAGCGGCGTCCGTCCGTCCGTACGTCCCGAGTCTTGTTTACGCGATATCTGATGAACTGTTGTACTCAATGTCTTCAAATTTGGTGACAGTCTACATTGGGGGATTACGCAGACACCAGTCGATTTTGGTGACCTTGACCTTAATTTCAAGGTCACCACGACACTTTGACCACTTTTCGAACTCTTGTTAGCGTGATATCTCATGAACTGTTGTACCCAATGTCTTCAAATTTGGTGACAGCCTACATTAGGGGATTATGCAGACAATAGTCTATTTTGGTGACCTTGACCTTACTTTCAAGGTCACCACGACACTGACCACTTTTTAAACTGTTGATAACGTGATATCTCATGCATTGTTGTACCCAGTGTCTTCAAATTTGGTGACAGCCTACATTGGGGGATTACGCAGACACCAGTCTATTTTGGTGACCTTGACCTTATTTTCAAGGTCACCACGACACTTTGCACGTTTTTAACTCTTGTTAACAGGGCATCTCATGGACTGTTGTACCAAATGTCTTAAAATTTGGTGACAGTTTACATTAGGGTATTACACAGACACCAGTTTATTTGGGCGACCTTCAAGGTCACCACGATACTTTGACCGCTTTTTAAAGGCAATATTTCATAAAACATTGCACCCAATGTTTTCAAGTATGTTGACAGCCTACATTGAGTAATTATGCAGACACCAGTCATTTCAGGCATCTTGTATGTGACTAAAAAATAGAAAGTAGTAAATATTGATATTCCATTCTTTAGCGACGGGGGACATTGCCATATCAGTGGCAATATAAAAGGCCTTCAATCAGAGGAAGACAAGAAGTTCCACAGGGCTGTAACATCAACCTCCCCCTACTGCAACTCAGGCTTCAACTGAGTAAGTCCACTGAAGAAGTTTATCTCCGATATTACAGCAGAAACAAATGTAATTCTCTTTCCAAAGGATATAGGAAGGCGTTTGAAGTCAAAAAGGATGGAAAGCTCAGGCCTAAATCTTCTTGACTCTCCAGGGTCAAAACATTTGTAGCACAGACCTCGAGTTTGGCTATAGACAACAATCATGTGAATAAGATGTATTTCATATGAAGGTGTTTCAGTGTCCAGTGAGCGGTCGTTTATCAACCTATCACCTACAATTTGTCAAGAAGACCCTCTTGGTAACACACTTTGTAGGACATTGGTATCAACTCTGGGGGCGATGTTTTGTGCGGTGATGACAGCCACAGACGAGCTTTAGGACAAGAAGGCTGGACAAGTTGGGTCCTTTGGAGTCCCGGACCAGGGTTATTCTTTCTGGTATACCTGGTCCCCAAGGAT